AATATTTGTAATAAATATTTTTAATAAGTATAATGTAGAAAAATATTAATTCAGAACTTATAAAAAAGCATTAGTTTAAATAAAACTTATAATGTATATTATCTACAGTATTATATTGAGACAAAAATTCATTTTTCATTATATTATACTGTATACATATTTTTTACAACTGCATCATTTAATATACTGTCAAATTATCATTTTATTAGTTAAAATTGCAACCATAATTATTTAAAAATGCAACAGTGGCACGCTGACAAAGAAACGACAGACTCGTCGCTTTATCCCATGACACGATTTAATTAATTTCAAGGCATTCGAAAATTATCGACAGTCAGCTCAGATGGATTATATTGGTGAAAATATTATAAAAGAGCAATTCTAATTATTACATGACATGCATCTTTAATAACGAAACGCCGGATATAGTAGTTGCAGGTGTCTATTGTAATATGTTCTCGTTTACATGATCTTTGGAAACTCATCGGTTACTATGAAATTATGAGCGCTCATCTTGATAGGCATTTGATCATCGCTGCATGCACGATATTTCATAGTAACACCTCACCATTATGGCTCAAAATACAGAGTATCATTTGTGCCATCATCATTGAAATCTTCTGATATAATCACTGGCAAGCAACAATCGAACGAAATTAAACTCTCGGCATCGTTAATTGGATTATTTGAAAGTTCTTTGTGAATTATGAATTCAAACTTTTTCTAAATACAAAAGATTTCAATAAACATCTCATCATATCCATGCGAATGCGAATATAATATAAGGCTTACCAATCGTGCTTCATCGATCCATCTTCCGACTAATTCAAACCGTTCATGGTGCGACATTTTTAAGAATTGCGATAATGTGGCAGCGGTCAGAATGATTTGAGCCGTGAATGGATTAATAATTGGAGAAAAGCATGACAAAAACCTTTCATGCTTATTTGCATTCCACAATTAGATGGTGTTAAATTAACAGGTGATCAGAAAGTTTAGTGACAGAAATTTTTATACCAAACTTTCTTCCATAGCCATCCAATCTCTATTTTCCCATTGCTGTTTATCCGCCCATCCCTTCTTATTAGCAGGTGTCAAATATTCTTCACATTTTGCAGCACATAGATCCCCTATAATTCTCGCGAGCCTCGCCGAAATTTCTTCACATGGTGAAAATATTATATGTACATCGTGGGGGAAACGCGTCAAGATAACCTGCAATTCGGCAAGAGCTTTCAACACTGGCAGAGTAAAAGCATAGGGAGGTGAAAGCGATTCATCATCGTTAATTAATGGCCTGCGATTCCATGCATAACTCTCCAGGATCAGATAAAGGTTGGGATATTTTTGGTGAAGACGCACTAAAGTTCGAACTATCTTTTGGACAGAGTTTTCTTGCGCAATTAAACTAAGAGGATAATAGACGATGCCAGTTTTCTCATCTAATATAATGTCACAATCCACATGAAGTGTTTCGAATTCGGCGTCGGATAATAAAGGCTAAAATAATGTGATCAATTTCTCAATCTTATTAACGAGAATTATATTAACTCAAATCGGAAAACACACCCTCATATATTCAAAGTCCCTTTCCACAAATTCCACCTTACAATTAACGGCTTTAGAAGCAGTTAAAAAGCTACGATTCGACAACATTCGAGCCGAAATAATGTATTTATGAACGCTTGCAGGCATTGGTAGATTATCATTGATAGCCTTTGCAATCGAAACTAAGTAATTTATGAAACATGATTAGCACAATAACATGAAAAGGAAATGCAAAATTATTAGAACGTACATATCGGATTAATTTTCCGGAAATCAGGTATAGTTTGATGGTGACCATCATTATTTGTTTTAAAATGACGTCCAATTGAAGGAACCAGTTGTTGTCCATACCGATCATCAAGAATTAAATTTTCATTGGCATGCAAATTCGGAGTGCTACTGATGCTGGGAACTTTAGGTTGTTGTTCTGTTATTAATAAGGACAAGGTTGCATGATTTTTGATCAATCGGAGAGATAATTTACCTTCATTATTTCTAATCGAGAACCTGAATTTATTTGAATTAGTCACACGTTCTTTGCTTAAAGTCCCCTTTCCTCTCAATAATAAAAAATCTTCAATGGACTTTGAGGCAGAGAATGAATTCGCGAAATGGGAATGACCAAGCATATTCGAACTATCTAAAAAAGAATCATCCGATTCTTTGCAGTTTTTCGGATCGTCTTCGGCATTGATCGTGTTATTTGAAATGTTGAAGCCAGTTAAATAATCAAAATTTGCCGAATTATCTAAAAATATTTTTAAGAAATGCTCGCAGATGAATATCTAATATTTATGATATTATATATAAATTTCTTAATGACTGAATATTTCGAGAACCTTTGAAATGTGAGGTTGAATGACCGTTTGGCGTACTACTCTCGATAGAAGGAAGGATTGTATCATGATGTGGTAGTGAGTTTTGTAGATCTTCGCTAAACGTCGAATTATTCTCTGTCATTAGAGTATTTTTACTAGTGGAAGAATTTTGTGCTTTGAAAAGATGATCAAAATTCTTAACCACCAGATCATTTCCAGCTGCCTGATCGTTACTTGTTATATCACTTTTCGATCCCTTGAAAAATTGAGATGCATTTTCAACAGTTGAGATTACCTTTTTAATGGGATCGGAGACTTGATCTTGACTGACAAAGGAACCTCGAGTTCCATCAAGATATTGAGAATTCTCGAATATATTCTCATCGGTAGAAGGATTATTATCGCATGGATTCTCATCACGAGTTAAATCTATAATTTCATGTAGATTTTCAAATTCATCATATATAAACGCTTCTTTTTCATTTAAAAAGATATCTTTTCTGCAATTGGAAAGCCATTTTGTGACTTTATCTTCATTGTTTAAAGCAGATGATGTAAGTTCTACTATCGGAGAAACGCAGTTCAAGTTTATATTGTGATTTCTCTCATTTTGTTTGATGAAATTCGAATCGCGTGAGATTTTATCAGTCTGCAATAATTCACGAATGTCAGCCGAATCACCGAAAATTTTATTCTCTTTTTTCCTGTAGGTGGACTGCCAAGTGTGTTGAAGATGATGAGGAGATCCCTTCTTATTCAAAGGAAACCTCTGATCAAAAATTGCTGCAGAGTGACATTTACTAGTGATGTTATTCGTATCGTGTTTAGGAATCAACGGTATAGCAGAGTCATCTCTTAATTTCATTTTCCTTGTCTGTTGATCAATCTTTCGAGTTCCATTTCTTGGTTCCAAAGGTGCGTCGATGGTATCATCCAAGAATTGAACACTGTTTCCCAGAACATCGTCCTCTTCAGGACAACACAGATATTCAAATACTTCAACTTGTGATATAGGTTCGGCACCAATAATTTTTTCGTGTTTAATAAGTGTAATGTTCTTAATTGGATTCCAGTGTAATTCTAATTCCAGGGACTTCAATCTGCCAAACGGTAGCAATATTTGAAATTCCGAGTTGATAGAACTCGGTTGCTTTAATATATCTACTAGGCGACTGGGTATTATTTTTATGTCTTCGTCATTTGGGGGTTTAACATTCTTCATAAACGTAACGGGGTGCGAGAGTTGTGGAACTTAAAAAACGAAATAATCAAATAAAGTGTTTGATAAATTGCCAATTAACAAAAATGTTTTTTGTAACCACGAACCTTTGAATTTCAATCCTCCGGCCTCATCTATTGACTGCATCATGATGACAGATTGCCAATTAATGCCCGGTGTTTTATCTTGCAGCACTATGCTGAGATCCTCTTGGAGCGCTGCATCATTTAACTTTCGGGCGGGAGATAGAATGGAATTTTTGGGCACAACATATTTGATTGTTGATATTAGAGAGTCGGGTCTAGGGAGATCCAGATTAATTAAGTTATTTAAACAGAAATCACTTTTAAAATATGTA